TAAAATATGTCCTGCCTGTCATTTTTATATAATTTGACCTAACTTAAAAGTTACAACTGCTTTTTCAAAAAAATCTGTGGATGTAAGAAGAGATCTGAGTTGCTCCCACCTTAATACAACTAATTTGCATTGCTCTGGACAGTTAGAAGTGATCAGCAGGAAATAAAAAGGTTTGAAATCCACTAAGGGTGATGCTACATACAGCAGAAGTTTGGACACATTTCAGTTTCTTATCATATTCCCATCAGCTTCCAGCTAACATTAAATAAGACCGTTTAACACTGGCTTCTTTTAGTTAAATGCATTTGCTGTGCTTCTGATTCTGGAAGGGCACTGCAGTTGCTTGGAGAGGAAGGAGATACAACCAAGGGTTCTGTTAAAGAGTTGATGCAGTAAATTCAGCATTGCCTTGGTTTTGTTTAAGGAAGAGTATGAATGAAAATATCAACAAATCTGCACCTAATTTTGCTAGGAGTGAAGTAAGGGACAAGGAAAATAGCTGCAGGGTTAAGATTATGTAGTGCTTGTTTTGCTTAATAAATTACAAAATGTTTAGCTGCCCAAATAAGGATAATCACTTAAGCGATCATGGAAATACTTCTTGACAACAAGAATGTATAGCCCTAAGAACTGATTGAAACAAGCCCTGCAGTATAGCATGTAGCCCTACAGAGACTGCTCAAGGAACCGGGGTAAAAAGTTCAGTGGTGAGGAAGAGGAGCTACTTCATCACTGAGACCCCAGCCCACGACTACCGGAACACACTGCGCAGGCGCAAATAGGGGGAGAACGGGGCGGAACATATGAAAATGATTTTCAGGTTCATTATAATACGAAGCAGGGATAGATCATGTATATGTATAGGTGTATCAGGACTATGCAATATTTTCTAGCATGAAGCTAAGACAAGGTGCCGTGAGAAGAGTGCACGTTTGTGGCGGAGCGGTCCCCTGTGCACTCAGCGCTGAATAAACAGACCCACTTTGAAACCTCATAGGTTTTGGAGTCTGTTTTCCGCGAGTCAGGAGAGCCTCATGCACTTCACACAGTGTTCAACTTTTAGAGATCAGAGGCTTGTTTTGTCTAAAACCAAGAGATGTACCTCAGCCTATAAAGCAGCACAAGTTAAGCTCTGTAGGCAGAGGGTGCTCAAATCTGGCGTAGCTAGCTCACTGCCCAGTTAGGCTTAGCAGGACACCAGGCACCTGGGTTTGGAGCCCCTGCAACTCCAGTTACAGCAAGGCAGAATTTAGGCCTCCAACCCTCCGCTAGCCCTGGGTGTTTAAGACTTACTTGCAATCAGAAGCAGCACAGGACTGACAGGACAGGACAACATTAAATTAAAGGCAGCATTCGCGGGTTTTTTTTTATGCCATGGAACTCTTGCTTTAGAAAGGGAAAAAAGGAGAAGAAAACCCTACTTGTCAACACCAGCTAAAGCCAGGAGAGGGAAAGGAGCAGGACAGCAGGGAAGCAGTGTACTTAACGGATCAAGGGCCTCTACAGAAACACCAGCAGCAAAAGGGGGAGACACATTGAAAGGTCTGTACAACTCATCACGCTTGTCAGAGTCCACATCCAGATCCTAAGGTTGAAGGGATTAATGATGCCATTATTCCAACTGGCTCTTTTTTTACTTCACAGCCAGCCAGCCTCAAAGATTAGATGGGTTAGTCACAGAAGCCTAGAATGGTTTAGGCTGCAATGGACCTTAAAGACCATCCAGTTCCACCCCCCAGCCATGGGCAGGGACACCTTCCACTAGCCCAGGTTGCTCAAAGCCCCGTCCAACCTGGCCTGGAACCCTTCCAGGGAGGGGACAGCCACAGCTTCTCTGGGCAACCTGTGCCAGGGCCTCACCCCCCTCACAGGGAAGGATTTCTTCCTGATAGCTAATCAAATGCTACCCTCTGTCAGTTTAAACCCTTACCCCTCATCCTATTACTACACCCCTGAAAAAGAGTCACTCACAGGAGTCCCTCCCCTGCTACCACCCCCCTGATCCAACACAGTTGTGAAGGGTTTTAATATCGATACAAGCTGTTGATTCTTGGTTTGTTGATCAAAGATCTGCTGGCATCAGAAATATCTCAAAGCAATCTCTTGCTGCAGCTTAGATGAAGAATCATGTTTCAACCATACAAATGTACTAAGGGGAAGTGCAATACAACCCATTTTCTGTGCAAACCTGAGCAAAGCCCAACTCTGACCCCATCTGCACATTTTTACATTGGAAGCGCCCTGACTCTTCCACCCAAAGAGAGTGACTTCATACACACTATAGGAATTAACGCAGCAGGATGCAGAAACACTGGCATTGGCCCAGGCATCATGAAAACAAGGAACCTGGAACAGAGTTCACCGAGGAGACAGACAGGAACTGCCAGACCACAGCCAGACTGCTCCTGAAAAAATATTATTCAAGAGAAAACGTGCAGAAGCCCGAAGGTCGGTGTCAACAGGGAGTCTGAACCAGCACTGCACACTCAGTCCCCAGCTATTCCCCGAGCGGCTCCAGGGCAGAGAGAAACAAGCACGCAGAATCAAACGCAGCCTGAGCTACGAACCACAGATTGCTCCTCAGTGTCACCGCACGGCAGAGCGGGCACTCGGGAAGGACACTTGTGTGACCGCCCCTCGATTTACTGCCGCAGGTTCAGGATACACCAGCTGGAAGGGGAAAGGACATGAACTTCACTTAGACAGCCCCGCAAAACTGGCCCCGCAGCGCAGCTACTTTTAGAAGCCTTTTCAGCATCCAACTGTGAACCTTCACTTCTCAGGAAAAAACTGGGGGTTTTGAGAGAGACCTCACAAAATCATCCTTCGCGCAGTGACCTGGTGAGGAGCGTGCAGAGAAAGCCACGTTCCCCTCATTTAAGGAGGACACGTACCCTGACCCCAGCGCAAAGCCCCCGCCGGCGGCAGCCCGCAGCCAGCCCCGCCGCTGGGAGGGTGCCGGGACCCCTCAGTGCGGAGCCCGCACAGACCCGCACCCAGAACCGCTCCAAACCACGGGGCTGCGACACCCAGGGCTG